GCGGCCGCTGCCCAGCGCTGCAGGGCTCGGCAGGGGGGGGGGGGGGGGCCTGGCCTGGAGGGGAGGGGCCTCTGCACTGGATGGGGTGGTGGGTGGAGCCTGGAGGGGAGCGGCCTCTGCACTGGAAGTGGTGGTGGGTGGAGCCTGGAGGGGAGGGGTGGGGCCTCTGCACTGGAAGTGGTGGTGGGTGGAGCCTGGGGGGAGGGGCGGGGCCTCTGCACCAAGGGGGGGACTCTGCACTGGAGGGTGGTGGTGGGTGGAGCCTGGAGGGGAGAGGCCTCTGCACTGGATGCAGTGGTGGGTGGAGCCTGCAGGTTGAGGGCGTGTCTCTGTACAAAAGAGGCGGAGCCTCTGCACGGGATGGGGTGGAGCCTAAAGGCCTGGGGTGCTGTCTCTGCATCAAAGGGGTGGAGCCTCTGGCCACAAAAGGGCTGGTGGGTGGAGCCTTCAGGCCCAGGGCGGGGCCTCTGGTGAGGAGCAAGGTGGTAGGCTGAGCCTCGGCCTGGAGGGCGGAGCCTCTGGAGGGCGGGTCAGTGGTAGGAGGAGCATCTGCTCAGCAGGGGCGGGGCCTCTGTCCCCAAGCAGGTCATGGGCGGGGTCTATGCTGCCAGGAGGTGGAGCCTAGGGCTGCAGTGGGCGGAGCCTCTGGGGCCAGGGCGGAGWCTCTGGTGCCCAAGGCGGGCGGGTCTGGACCAGGAGGGGCAGTGGGAGGAGCTTCTGGGCCGTGGGGGCGGGGCCTGCAGCCTCCCGCGGGAGCCAGGCCGGGCGGGGGTCCCGGGCGGGGGTCCCGGGGGGGGGGGCACTCACGGGCGGGCACTGCGCCAGCTTGTCCGAGGCCACCATCTGCACGTTGAGGTGCTTCGCCTGCGACTTGCCCCGCGACTTCACCAGCCGCTGCAGCACCTGCGGCGGGCGGGGGGCGCGTGACGGGGAMCCCCCAGCCGGCCGGCCCCCCGCCACGGCCCCGCGCCCACCTTGGGGGACGTGATTTTGATGTAGACGACGATGGGCGCCAGGGAGGTCTTGGCCAGCTGGGCCGGGTGGTTGATGGTGTCGGCGTCCAAGGCCACGAGCTGCAGCGTGCGCGCCAGCTCGAAGATGCGCTCGGTCTCGCTCTGCACCTCGGCTGCGAGGGGCGAGGCGGGCGCTGAGGGTCCCGGCGGCACGGCGCGCGGCGCAGCACGGGGCACAGCGGGGACGGGTGCCTCGGGGACATGGGCAGGGGGTGCTCGAGCAGCAGGGCTCCGGCGCTGGTCGCCCTCCTCGAGGCCACGGCATCCCCGGGGACACGTGGGCACCGCGCAGCCCACGGCGGGACGGCGACGGGGGACCCCGCGGGGCAGGGGGGACCGCCGGGGTCTCGGTGACCGCCCTCGGGCTCCGGGGGCGGCCGGACCCCTCGGGGCTCCCGCAGCGCTAGCGGGCGGGTGGCCACGTCGCGTCCCCAGCCCGGGGGGGCTCGCAGGGGTCCCGGGGGCTCCAAGCCACATACCCAAGACATCTGTATGAGGAAGGAAGCAGCGCAGAGGGGAGGAAACCGCGAGGAACGGAGAGAAAGAAGAGGACGGGAAAACAACGGGAGGAAGGTGGGGAGAGAGCGGGGTGCGGGGCGGCGCGGGGGCCGCGGCGGCGCGCGGGGCCGTACCCAGGCTGGAGCGCGTGCTGGAGCGCTCGATGATGGTGTGCTTGCTGGGGTTGTTGAGCACCGAGCGCTTGGCCAGCGAGATGTCGGCCGTGACCCGCGTGATGGAGATCCTGCGGCAGCGGGACGCGGCGGTCGGACGCACATCCTCGGGGTGCAGCAACACCGCGTCCCTCCTCCCTCGCCCAGGAYGCCCGGGCCCCTCCGCAGGGATTTGCACCCCGCGAAGCTTCTCAGAGCGGCCGGGGCAGCTTGGGGGCGGGCAGGGGGCTGCCGGCGGCMAGGGGCACCCTGCGGCCGCCCGCGCACCCACCTGCCGTCGAAGCGGTGCTTGAGGAAGTCGAACAGAGCCTTCTGCATCATGTCGGTGACCTGCGCGGGGCGCGGGGGGGCTCAGCCGGGCTGGGGGGGGGTCCCGGCTCGGGGACGCCCCCCGCCCGCCCCCTCCTCACCTCATAGCCCTTCAGCGACGGCCCCACCAGGATGATGGGGCGCATGGAGGGCACCACGTCGTACGGGGGCACGTGCTCGGCCTGGGGGGGGACACAGAGCCGCCTTGGGGGGGTCGGGCTGGGACGGGAGAGCTGCAGCCCTGAGCCCCCCATCGCCGTGCGGGGGACAACGGGGGGCACTTTAGGGGGGGGCACCACTCGGTGCACCCCGTGCCCGGTCCTGCATGGCCGGGGGGTGGGGGTGTAAGGTGGGGGTCCCCGTCCCCTTCCCCCTCCCGGGGCTGGGGGGGTCCTGCCGCTACTCACCGACTTCTGCTTCTGCTTCGCTAGGTGCCGGGAGGCCGCGCGCGGGGCCRGGGCGGCGAGAGGAGACAAACAAGGCATGCGTGTTATGCACCGTATGCACCCGCGCCTGCAGAGCCCCGCGGGCGGCGGGCCGGCATGCACCCAGGCTGGGCCGGGGGGCAYGGCACCGCCCCCGCTGCCCCCCGGCACGGGCAGCGCGGGGGGGGGCATTAAACACAGCCCCGCGCTCGAGGAGGGTCCGGGGGCGAGGGTCCCGCCCGGCCGCTCGGACACCCCGCCGGTCCGGCTGCGGGTGCTCGGGGGCGGACACCCCCGCCGCGGGGGGTGGTTCGGCCCGAGCCCACCTGCCCGCTGCCCAGCTGGAGCGGGGGGGAAGGTTCCATTCTGAGCGGCGGGGGGAGACGCGAGGGGACACCACCGTGCTGGCACAAACCATGCGCACACTGCGGGCTGCCCCAAGCGGGGGGCGGGGGAGGCATGGGGGGGTGACAGCCATGGACTGACCCATCCCACTGGGCATGGGGGGAGACAGCCATGGACTGACCCATCCCATTGTGCATGGGGGGGGAGAGTCATGGACTGACCCATCCCACTGGGCATGGGGGGTGACAGCCATGGACTGACCCATCCCATTGTGCATGGGGGGGGAGAGTCATGGACTGACCCATCCCATTGTGCATGGGGGGTGACAGCCATGGACTGACCCATCCCACTGGGCATGGGGGAGGACAGTCATGGACTGACCCATCCCACTGGGCATGGGGGAGTGGCAGCCATGGACTGACCCATTCCACCGTGCATGGGGAGGGAGAGTCATGGACTGACCCATCCCATTGTGCATGGGGGGGGACAGGCATGGACTGACCCATCCCACCGTGCATGGCGGAGGATAACGTTGGACCGACCCATGCCATGGTAACCGGGAGGAAGCCATCGCGGACTGATCCAACCCACRGAGCATGGCGGGGGACAACCATGGRCCGATCCATGGGCTGATCCATCTCCTGGTTCACAGGAGGGGAGGACGGTCGTGGACCAATCCATCCCATGGGCCATCGTGGGGGAGAGCAATCACCATGGAATGACCCATTCCGGGATGCAGGGGGGAGGCAGTCATGGACTGATCCACCTCCTAGCTCACAGGAGGGGGAGAGAAACCATGGACTGATCCATCCCATGTAGCCCC